AATTCTACAAACTGCAATTTATTAACATTAAAATATGCCTTCTTCGCTTCCTTGAACAGAAATTATCATTCCAGAAAGCATCTATCTAACCCCTGCCTTAATATCTTCCTCCCCCCCCCCCCGGTTTTGCATAGAGGACTTATATGAAGAAGGCTATTTGATTACATCATAAGGCAACCTGCCTGTGTATAACAATGGATGCTGCTAGTATATTACTATAACTGGGTGACAATGAGTTTTTCTACAGTTTGGTCTAGTGGTTAAGGCACCAGGCTAGAAAGCAAGAATCCATGAGTGCAAGTCCTGCCTTAGCCATGAAAGTCATCTGGGTGACTTTGGGCCTGTCACTCTCAACCCGACCCACCTCACAGGTTGTTGTGGGGAAAACAGGAGAGGCAGGTGTGTTGGTTTGCTTAAAAGCTTAGAGGACATACAAGAACAAGCTAGAATCTAAGATTACAGTTTCATTAAATACTGGATAAAGCTATTCAGATATCAGTAATACTGAAAACAGCACACAATAAATGAAATACTATCCAAGATAAAATAGTAAAAATGAATTCAACTAGGTGAGATTATTGTAACATTAGCATTGTACAGATAAAACGTATTGCAAAAATGACATTTTAATTTACCTATAGAAAACGTAAGAATGTTCCATTCATCTTTCTAGGAAAAAATGTTCTAAAATATGACTATCCCTTAAAGCCTCCTTTTGTGTATTTAAAAGATATGCCCAAGGAGAAGATCATGCTATTCTTCGTACAAGATTATTCATTATGACACAGCAGGAAAAACATGAAAATTAGAAATACATTTACTGTAACATGTAACCTTTAATAAATTCACCTAATAATTGACTTGGCTTAACCACTAAAATGAAAATTTCTGATAGTAATTTGGAACTTTTCATTGCAATGTGAAAAAAGCAATGATTTCCATGATTAACCAGCCTGAAACTCTAGCAAGAATGGAATCTATGAATGCACAAGGCACCCTAATAAAACTCTGTAGCAGGTATAATGCATTAGATGTGAAAGGGGCAAAGGAGTGTGAACTAGATTAAATTTTATTCACTGTTCTCATGTTAAAACAACAGACCCCATTCAATGTGTATTTTTAAGAGAAACTTTATATAAGGTAATAAATGTATAGAGTTTTAAAAAGGAATAATAAGCAGCATCAATTCTCAATTCAAATTTCTTTCAGATCTACACGTGCTCTAATCCAGTGTTTCTCAACCTTGACAATTTTAAGGCATGTGGACTTCAACTCCCAGAATTCCACAGCCAGCCATATGCCTTAAAATTGTCAAGGTTGAAAAACACTGCTCTAATCCAAGCCTCAGCAAACGTTCTTTGACTGATCTAAGAAGCAAAATGTACTTAACCTGGGTTGTCTTTGGGTATATTCCTTCATCTGGCAAGTCTGAAAAAGCAATGGAAACCACACAAACACAAAAAAAACCTTATACAGGTAATCCTTGATACCAATTGAGACCAATGTTTTTGTCACTAAATGATGCGATCATAAAGTGAGACCATGTTGTTTAGCAATGACAATCCAGCAGTTTCAATTACTGCTGTTAGCTGAATCTCATGGTCATTATGCAAGGCAACTGTCTGCTGGCTTCCTACAAACAAAACCAGTGGAAATGCCAGCAGGTAAGTGGGAGATGAAATGAGTGAGGAAGTGCATGGGGGGGGGGGCAATGAAGGTCAGGGAAGGTGCATAAGGGTGTGAGAGGGTGCCCAAGAGGTATGGTGTGGTCAGGAGTGCAGGGGTGATCAAGCACAGATGGTCTGGGTTCCATGGTGGGGAAAATTTACCCTATCAACTTGCAACTTTCCTTATCGGCTTTTCCACTGATTTTCTAGGGAAACCAGCAGGAAAGGTTGCAGATGGTGATCAAATAATCATGGGGTACTGCAACTGATCAAACCAGTTGCCAAGCATCCATATCTGAATCACATGATTTTGGGAATACTGGGAAGGCCAGAACTTCAAGGACTAGTCATAATCAGTCATTTAGTTCCTTTGTAAGTTCAAATGGTTGCTGAATGAATGATTGTAGATCGAGGACTATCAGTATATGCAGTCACCAAGAAGCTCAATTCATAAATATCGTTATTTTTTTATACTCTACCCTGTTCCTCATACTTTGTGTAATTCTGCACTATCAAGTCATTTTTGACAACTCTTAACCATTTTTTTCTTCATGATGATCTATCTATCCCTAGTCTATTCTTCCAAGTCTCTCAACAGTGCATTCATTGCCACTATAACTGAGTCCATCCAACCAAGAGGTCATCCTCTTCTTCACTTCCTTCTATCTTTTCCAGAATTAAAGTATTTTTTAGAGAGCTAGGCCTTTGCATAATGGGTCTAAAGTAGGATAAATATTTACTCATTTCATGTTCTATGTGGATAGATAAGTAAACTTGGCTCTTGGAATGGGATGTGTGTGTGCACCTTTAAGGCAGTTTTTGACTATTCACACCTGGACAAGTCCCTGTAATTTTCTTGGCAAGATTTTTGGAAGTGGTTTGCCATTACCTTCTTTCTAGGGCTGAGAGGATGTCACTGGCCCAAGATTACCCAGCTAGCTTTGTGGGACTAGCTTTGTGGGACTTCAACTCTTAACCTCCTGGATTCTAGCCTGATGCCTTAACCGCTATATCAAACTGGCTCTTAGAACCTGTTAGTAATTTTACTTTTTACATTAATATGAAAATGGTTCCTTATATTTTTCTATCAAAAAACAGAGCATCTAGCTGGTCTGTTAATAAATATATTTTGAATTTTCATTTAGAAGCTCAGTAGTAAATTTCTGTTCCCAATCACTTAAGTAAATGCTAAAGATCTTCTGTTATAGTGATGAAAAATAAAACAGAACGTTCAGTAGCTGCATCCAGACCAGAACTCAGATATTAAATAAAAGCATGAATGCATTTAGCATTTTGTTAAATCAGAAATCTAATTATGGAAATAATTAGAATTCTTTTAAAAACTACATCAAAATACATTGATTTTTAAGAATAAAATTTTGTCCGCTCTGCTGCCAGTTGTTTTCTTGATTTTATTTTGGTTACACAGTCCTTATATTTCATTATGTTGTGAAGTTTTATTCTATGAATAGTTAGTTTTCCAATATAAATCATTTTAGAAATGTATGAAGAGAAGTTGGATTTAAAAATACAAATAAAATAATATGTAAATAAGTAAAATCATTGTGGCTGAAAACATAAAGGATCAACAGATGCTACCCAACTTATTCATGGTAAAGAGAATGCATTTACATTATTTGTCATTGTGTACAGACTTATCAGAATAGGTGTTGTTAATTTAAGGAAAGGACAGATTATTCATTTGGAGAATATATGGCAATTGCTGCAAGAAACATTTTAAAAACCCCAACTTTTATATATTTATCTTCTCAAAAGCAAGCAAAATTTCAGAAATTTGCTTATGTGGGTGTGTTTGCCTTGATTAGAACTTTAATAAATTAGAATGTCGGCAGTGCATGCTTTGCATTGTATCCAGCTACTCCGAACACACTATGAAAGATGAAGAAAATGTATTTGAATACAGGGAAATTCTACAAAAGTATTTGAAAAAAGTGAGGGAAAAACCATACAATTAATAGAATTTACTTGGGGTTTATCACCAAGCTATTATTTAAGGCACTAGATTATAAAGCAAGAAACCGAGTTCCAGTTCTGCCTTAGTCATGAGACCAGCTGGGTAACTTTAGGCCAATCACTCTTTCTCAGTCCTGGAAAACAGGTAATGGCAAACCATTTTTGAAAAACCTTGCCAAGAAAACTGCAGGGACTAATCCAAGCAGCTGGCAGAAGTCAAGACTGATTTGAAGATGCACACACATACACACACACCATCCTCAAAGGAGGAAACCTATATACACAAAGACCTATATACATGATCCATATATAAAAAGACCTATATACATAAAACATTTAAGCTGCACATATTACATAGATTTCCCACAGTTGACCTCAACACATCCATGTAATTTTCTTGGCAGCATACAGAAGTGATATGCAGTGATTTGATTTAAACTTTATAACTCTAGCTAGCAGAGTTGAAGACCAACCTATCTTCATGGCTGGTAAGATTTGGCAGAATGGATAGCCTCCAAGTCCCTCCTAATAAAGAATGTCATCTAGCAGAAAGTAGAAAGCATGCCTGTTCTCTGGTTTGATATCCTCCTCCAGATATTCATATACTTCCCACCCTGGTGATGCTCTGAATGTTTTTGAAAATATGGCTGTTATAAGGTAAGGATGGATATACGTGAATGGTTTCTTAATGGTTTCTTAATTTTTTTAATCTTTCTTTTAAAGTGTAAGCTGCCGAAAATCATTTGGAGTCCAGGAGATCTAAGCTATATAGGTAAATTCCAAGCTTTCCCTCCAATGCCTTTATTTTTCTTTTGTATTATTTAGTTTGTGATTGCTGAGAAGGTTGTGTAATCAGTAATAAGTGAAAACTTACTATATAGTAAAACTGTCCAAGGAGAGGAAAGAAGATGCATATACATAAATACAAGACAGACACACCCACATTCCTGCACAATGTATGTACTGTACATAAAGCACAATATCATATATAAATGTATATTTTAATCTTCCATCAAATTCCAATGGAACAATCAAAATCTACTACAGAATGGATAAAAGAGATTTGCAAATATCTGTCACTTGCTCATTTAACAGAGGTAGCTATCTGGCCAAGAGGCATACCAAAAGCCACCCAACAGAAGCACTTCTGCTATGGCTATGAATCTGAATTAACCTTTTTTTTCTGCCCAAATTACTTATCTTCTCACATTCAACAGGCCAGTTTTTGGAGCTGATAATTTGTGTGTATTGCTACCCCATCTTCATTTTATCACTCCAAATTAGATTCTGTTTTCAATATTGCACAAATAATGAGGGTATCCTAAATCAACACATCCTTGAAAAGACATTTGGTTTTACCTGATTTGCTGAGAGGAATTCCTGGTTATTGTCATTCATTCCCATATACATGTTCTCTCCGTCAAACTGGAATGACAGGGGGAAAAATAATCAAAATGCAAGTAAACTGGAACCATCAAGAAATTGCTAAATTCTGTAAGCAGCCCATCTGATTGATTTGATTGCTGAAAATAATTCTAAATCTCATAGAAATTTAGCACAAAATAAATCAAAACCACAGCATTGATCTTACAGAGGTTTTATGTAAACTGGTCTGTAGTTATCCCAAAACGTTGTATCACCACTGTGTGCAACTGAAAATCAGTATTGTGGAAAGTTTATAACATTGCATGTATCAGTGCCTGTACCTTTGCTACTGTAAAAGCAGGGAAATAAATTTTATAACTCTAAAGAAAAATGGTTTGTAAAAATCATATAGAAAAAGGAGGATGATTAGGAAATTAAGTGTAAGATTAATTGAAAAACCAGGTCTAAGACACAAAGTCTCATATCACACACATAGCTATTTGCATGAAGGAAAACATCTGTTAGTATACAATAGGATGTTCTCCCTACTACCATAGTTATTGTTAAGGCAAAGTCCTATCAGGCAGTAGGAAAGAACTTTTATGAATAATAGATGGATCTAAATCACCTTCAGTTCAGAAAACAATAGAATTGAAACTAAATAGTTTGGACCAGCTTAACAGATTATCTATTTTCATATTTCTATCTCATTTTACTGGGGCCCAAAATATCTTCATTGGAAAATTTTCTTAAAGTGATCTTAGAGTAAGGTACCCAGTCTTACTTTCTTTTGGGCTCTGAAGTAATCACTAGGATTTACTTTCGGGGAAGGCTTATTTTTGCTGGTACCAGTAGGCTACAAGCAAGCGGGGGGTGGGGCAGAGCCTGTGCATGGGCTGGAGAAGCAACATAGCAGTGAGCGCGTGGTGGCATACCAGATACAGCACCAGGGCGAGTGGGTGGGGCATGTGCCCTTCCCATGCCAGGTCAGCCCCTGCAGCCCTGGGGCAGCCGTGCTAGGTGGTGGCAGGAAGGGTGCTGAGCTGGGGGCGGCCAGGCCAAACAAAGCAGCAGGTGGAGTGCCGGAGGCTCAGGAAGGGAGAGTGGTGAAGCAGGTAGGTGTCCTGCCATCAGCACCCATGCCTTTCCTTACCTGACTCCCAGCCCCGTGCCATTTCTCCTTCATGATCAGCCGTCGCGTGCAGGGAAACAAAAGTTTGTGGGGGAAAAAAGATCAATCAATCAATTCCAACTTCTCGCGAAAAAAAAAATCTCACAAAGTTGGAATTGACCTTTTCCCCCCCACAAACTTTTTTTGTTTCCATGCACACGGTGACGGCGGATTGTGAAGGAGAAACGGCATAGGGCTGGGAGTCAGGTAAGGAAAGGGATGGGTGCTAATTGGCAGGATGCCCATCTGCTTCACCATCCTCCCTCCCCAAGCCTCCAACACTCCATCTGCCACATTGTCCAGCCTGGCCACCCCCACCTTGACGCCCTTCCTGCCGCTGCCCAGCACAGCCGCCCTCGGGCTGCAGGGGCTGGCCTGGCATGGGCACGCGCGCCCTGCCTGCCTGCTTCACCACTCTCCCTCCCTGATCCTCCAGCACTCCACCTGCCACTTTGTTCGGCCTGGCCGCCCCCACTGCCGCTGCCCAGCATGGACATTCCAGAGCTGCACTTGGAGCTCCAGAAGCTGCAGGGATTTGTGGGCACCCTTTTTGCACCACTGTTTTTGGCACCGCATCTGTGGGCGTGTTTGCCTCACTGTTTTCGGCAGTACTTTGGGGGGGTGGTCTATCCCCATTTGGAGCATGGCCGCTGTACAATCGCCACGCCACCTCTCAGGAGGCAGCGTCAGGTGCCAATGCAGCGGCATGGAAGACAGAAAGCAATCCCGCCCACCAGATCAGCCTGGTGGGGGTGGGGTAGGAAACTAAGTGGCGCAAAAAGCAGCACTTGGAGCCTCAAGGAGCTGCAGGGATCTGGGCATGCCCTTTGCAGTTGTCCTGCAATGTGCAGCCTCTCCCTATAAGCCAGTGGTTCTCAACCTGTGGGTCAGGACCCCATTTGGGGTCAAACGACCATTTCATGGGGGTCACCAAACAACTCAGTCCGCCATTTTCCCCCCTTTTCCTTAGCTGTGCTACTCCCTTTTATTCTATTGGCTTTTGAAAGCCAATAGAATAGACTCTCTTGAATAGAGTCTAATTCTACTGGCTTTCAAAAGCCAATAGGAATTGTCCAGGCTGTCTCTGCCCTGCTGAGCCCACCAAAAGTCCCATTCTGCAAATGGTGCTGCACCAGTTGAGTAGTCCTCGACTTATGACTGGTTGAGTAGTCCTCGATTTATGACCAGTTGGGGTCGCGGCATTAAAAAGGTTGAGAACTACTGCTATAAGCAATCCGGCTTACCCAGGGTCAGTTTGGCCATCGCAGGAGGCTCATCCCACATGTGCGACAGAGCTAGAAGATGGGGACGGGTCACGCCTCCCTCAATGGCCAATCTGACTCCAGGTGAACAGGATTGCTTCAGCTGCAAGGAGCCTGGCCTAAGGTTTCTTGAAGCTGATGGGAACTGTGGCCTGCCACCGCTGAACAATTTAGCCGAGCCACAAAACTGAACCCACAGCAGCAGCACCAGCAGCAGGTAAGGCAGGGGGAGGCACGAGATCTGTTCTGCCCAAAAAAACACAGTGGAATGGAGTAGGTGAGGTTATGTAGGGCTTATTTTTTGATGTAGCCCGAACCCTAAAAAATAAGCTAGGTCTTGTTTTATGGCTAGGTCATATTTTCGGGGAAACACGATACATGCTAAATGATGAAAGGATGTTGTTTTTGTTTTTAGAAGTGAGGTCCTGTTTACAGAATTCCTTGCCAGAGATACTCATCTAAAATCTACTTGCTCCAGGTCTTCAATCTTCAAGGTCTTTAAATACAACTTTACTGCGACTTTAATTTTCTTTACTGTGACTTTATTATATTCAGTATCTTTACTGCAAATTACTATTGTTTTATTCTTTGTACTTCCTTTTTCTAACAGATTTGCTTAGTTACTACAGAAATCTTGAGTACTGGCAACAGAGAAGAAAGATAGGTAAACAATAAATTTATTGTCTTCTGTCCTTTCTTATGGGCAGTGAACTTGGTCGTAACAAATGAAGGTTTAATTGCAAAATCTAGCCTCGAGAATTCTTTCAAAGAACTAAAAGTACATTTATTTTCATTAGTATTTCTCCAGAACCAGCAGTGGTGTTTTTTTAATCTTATATTTATTTAGAGATAGAATGAAACTTTAATATAAATTCACTTGCTATGAAGAAAAGGGTATTCTAGTTGGTTTTGCTATTTGCTGTTTCTTATATTATTTCTAATATTGTCTGGTGTTTTGTGAGCCACTTAGAGTCATTTCTTTATTATTAATTAATAACCATAATTATAAATAATAAAATATTAAACAATCATAACAATAATTAAATGATCGATTGAGTTTTGAGCTGTTTTATCTTATAACTATATAATAATTTTCATATCATAATAAACTTTTATTTGCCAACACAGCAAGTTTTCTGTAAGTTTTTATGCCCTATGTATTTTGACTCTTCATTCATAAAACTTTGACTATAGATAAGAATATGAACATTTCACTTGCCTAGTATCTTTTGTTATTATAACAAATATTCTGATTATTTTATGTACTTCACATTAAATACTGTATTTTCCGGCGTATAAGATGACTTTCTAAACTATGCAAATCTTCTCCAAAGTCGGGGGTCGTCTTATACGCCGAGTCTTCTTATACGCCAGAAAATATGGTAATTAAATGACAATGGTTGGCAAGCATCTACTTTTAATGCAAGTATCAATTGTTGAATATTACACAGAATTCAGTACCAAATCAAGAAAGAGAGTTGAGATAAATTAAATTGTTCTAATGAAAAAGATGCAACAAACTTCTAATAAAAGTTTGAAGAATGAGTTAGTCATTAAAATAATTTACACCAGTGGAAATAATGTAGCTAAAATCCTTAGAAGAATGACTGTCTATAGAAAGTAGTTTTCAACTTTTGCAGATCACATAACATTTTAATTAAAAAAAAAATCCCAGAAACCCTGATTAAGAAGCAAAGTTCCAGTGATAGAAAATTGGCTACAATTTTTTCCCCCGTAGTTTCTTGCAGAACTATAGGCCACTGCAGAACTGGTCTACGGAATCATTTTTAATGGAATGAGTGTATAAATTGGCATTTGGATTCTTAATGGTTTTTTACAACCAGAATTTCCTTTTATTTTCCTTAAATATTCTTGGGGGTTGTATACATGCCAAAATACTTTTTTCCCAAAATTATTGTTTTGCTACTTTAGAGTAGACCCATTTGGTCTTGATAGATATAACTGTCCAATTATATTGGAGTTACTATTATAATTTATATACATGCATAGACATATACCCATATACCTCCCATACAGATTTTTTTTTTCTGTGAAATCTTTGAGGATAATAAGGGGAAGGGAAAATTACAACTGTCAGTCCATCAGAAGGGGCTACTTCAGTGGTGGGATTCACATATGTGAACAACCAGTTCTCTGTGTGGATGCCGCTTCCAGAAGTCTATTCTGGGCCTGGGCAACAAAAAAATAGCTACCAGTTCTGCCGAAGTGGTGCGAACTGGCTGAATCCCACCATTGGGCTACTTCCATTAGCACATTATTACCTTATTCTTACATTAGCCTTGCATTACTTTTCATCTTTTTGGACTCTCATCTAACGTATTTTCTACAATTGTTCCCACCAAACAATTTAGGTTGCAATGAAAGAATTATCTTAGATTTACCAAGAAAGTGGTATGAAGACAAATGAATTCAACTTTCTTTGGAAAGTGAGGAGAGTTATCTTAAACTGTCTTTTTTTTTTTTTTTTTTTTGGAGCTCGTATGCTATTTTCAAACTATATGGACATGGAGCGGTAAACACTACAGATTCAAAGCCACCACAGTTGGTTCTAGCAATTGCTGAGTAACATCTAGAAATCAAACTAGAGGACTGCATCAATAGTCACA